TAAAAATATACAAAAAAAATTAAAAATAAATTAAAAATAAATTTTTAAAAAATGAAAAAAAATTTAAAAAAAATCCACGTGTCCGCCAGGTCAGCGACACCTGGCGGACACGTCACCTCCAGCGAGCCAAGCAGGCATCTCCGGCGCCGGAGAACTAAAACAGCGAAAATCTTTCACTTATGGGACTAGTTTGCGACATGCTATACTTACATGACTAAAGTGATAAGGAGGTCCAGTTACGGGACTAAAAAAAACAGTTTATCCTTAAATATATTTTAAGCCAAATAAATTTTAAAAATTATGTTTTTGACTTATTATGACTAATAGCTTAAATAATGTATATTTAACCTATTATTAAATTTTTAATTCAATATTGACAAATACTAAAATAAAATAAAAATATGTGGTTGGGATATGTATTAATATTAGTAGATTGTTTATGCGTCGCACAATATAAATTTTTGGTATGAAGTTTGTGTAGTTTGATATTTATTATTTTTTAAATAAAATAATAGTTTCATATATTATTTTTTTAAAAAAATTACAATATACTTCATCCGTTCTATGAGTAAATATTTATTTAATTTTTTAAGTAGTTTTATAAATATTAGTATTATATTGAGATATAGTAGAAATAAAGTAGAAATGACTAAAATAACCTTATTAGTATGCGTGTAATGTATTGTAAGTTGTAAGAGTATTTGTAATGTTAGGTAGACAGTACACCTACTAAAAAAAATTGATACTTCGTTAGGTAGGACGGACTAAAATAGAAAAATAAATACTTTGTTATGGGACGGAGGGAATTTTTTTTATTAAAATATTCAGAAACTCAAACAAAATAATTTGTTTATTTACATTGGATGAACGTTATGAGTCAAAGTCTTGTAGTTGATTTTGTTTTTGACCAAAACAAAAAAGAGGGCATATATTTATTTATAATTAATAAATTAATACCACTATTAGTGGCCATGAACGCTAATCAAATCCCCCAATGTTTTAGATCAATCTTTTTGCTTGAAAACTACACCCATAAAGATTTAGAGTGCGTTGGGTAAATAAAATGAAATTACGAAAAAAATTAAAAAGAAAAATTAGAATTATAGAAAAATAATTAATCTATGAGATGAGATAATAGAAAATTCAATAGAAAAATATAAAGGAAAATCAATTATCATTTAATTAAAAATAAAAAAAATGCACAAATTTATAAGTTAAAAGTATGTTGATAAAAAAAAATATATATATATATATATATGTAAAACTCTCAAATTATGGTAATATATATGTAAAGAAAGAGTTTGTTCACTAAAGTGTTTTTTAATAAATTTGTTTCTTTTTTTTTTTTTTTTTTTTAAGGTAAGTATGAAAAATTGTATCAATAATATAAAAATAATATTATAACTCAATTTACAATTATATGTTCAATAAAAATATTAATAAAACTAATATTTCCAAAAAATAATATTTTAATTATATGTTCAATAAATTATATTATTAATAAAACTAAAAATATGTCCCGAGCAAAAAATAAATTATACTTATGTTCTATAAAAATATTATTAAATTTATTTTTAAAATAATATCAACAAAAAAATATAATAATGAACAGTATAAAATTAAAGTTATTTTAATTATATGTTCAACAAACAAACATACACATAAATTATAAACAATATCTTAACTATTATAAAACTAATATTTCCAAAAAATAACACAACAATATGGTCCCGTTGGACCAGAGACAATTGTAAAAAAGACAACAAATCAAATAGAAGTATATTTGTCAATAAAATTTTCTTTTATATGATCCCGTTCAATATTTGTCAAAATTTTCTTTTATATGCTTGGTCATTTTTACCTAATTCATTATTATTGTCTTCAATAAAATTCATATTTTATCAATCCCACGAACAAATCAAGTTAGAGGTAACATATTAAAATTCATAAATCTTATAAAATGCTTCATAGAAAATACTAAAAAGAGTTAGCGCAATTATCTTTACCAGGCACAACATTATTACATTCAAGATCAATTTATACATTAGATCCAAGTATATCAAACCTAGAAATTATTTTCTCAAATACAATTGTTGCTTCCAACATCAAATATATTGAGTTTCATCGTGTAGGAACTTCTAAGCACAACAAACTTTTGATATGTTTTTTCTAACTCACAATATTCTTTGAACTTATTCAATATAAATCCCGAGTACCTACCAAACCGAACAACGTTTCTAATTTTCTTCACGAAAGACTCAATCTCTTTTAAATCATCTTACATCACCAAATTTAATATATGAGCTATGCATCTCACGTGCATATAATTACAAATTATGATATCTTCTCTCCAGTGATTGATAAACATGCTTATCAACAATAATAGTGAATATTTTATCCATATCTCAATCATGTAAATATTATTTAGTTTTCAAGTAATGCATTTACCCTTATGACTAGAATTTGGACAAAATTTAATAATTTTTTTTTCTTTTTTTTTTTGGACCAATTTTCAATCATTATCAATTTAATGATTTGTTAAACACTTGTAATTAACTTTTTGAAGAGAAGTCTATGTATTTGTAATAAGAAGTATATTTTTTATTTGTACATTTCAGCAATATCATCAATATATATATTTCATCTTTATACAATTTCGTAAAATTGTTTATTTAAATGAAACTTAAAACTTAAGACAAATATCAAACATGGAGTATTGAAATCCCTTTATGTTAACAAACTAAAAATAGAATTCATCAACAATAACCGTATGAGTTAATGTATTATTACCATCTTCTTGATCTGAACTTTAAGCACTAAAACATAAACTTCATTATATGGTAAAATCAATTGTGATTATTTAAAATTTATTATTATTGAGATTTTGCACCTTTTTTAAAAAAAATAATCTCTCATAATACACACATTTTGTTTTCTCTCTAGTATGTTTATCTGTAAGATGCTCAAAATAATCCTAAACCTATGATTTTTTTGCATAGCATTTCTTGTTTTACATTGTGATTGGGTAAGTTAAAAAATTTCATCAGTCATCACCATCGTGTGTAATGTTTTTAACTAATAATCCAAATGGACGAGTACATCCAAATGTATCTTCAAATATTTCAATATTATTCGACATCTACACAAAATAGTTTAAAAAATAAATGGGTTAGCAATATATTAATTGCAACAAAAAATAATACTCCCTCCGTCCACACACAAAGTAAACATTTTTTTTTGGCGCGGTGTTTAAGAAATAATAGTATTTTAATTATAGAGGGTAATTAAAAATAGTAAAATGACATTTTTGCCTTTGCTTTTTGGTATAAAAGTAATGATGTGATGTAAAGTAAGGGTATTTGTGAAAAAGAATGAGTAATTTAATGAAATGTTTACTTTGTAATTAAACGTCCCAAAATAGAATTATGTATACTTTCTAGCTGGACGGAGTAAGTACTATATATATATATATATATATAAACTTATATTATAGTAGTTTATAGTGTTGGTGAGAACAAATCCGTCCACTTTCTAGTTAAGGGTGTGTTTGTTTGGGGGATTGGATTGAATTTACATTATTCATCCAATTTTTCCCCAAAAACATCAAATCAAACGCCTCTTTTTCATTTTTTATATTATACTAAAAATCAATTTTACATTCAAAACATCACATCAACAACTATTTATATCACATCATACAACTATTCAAATTCAAAATTTTTACTATTTAAATCTCAACTCAAAATCCAAACCCCCGAACAAACACACCCTAAGGGTATCAATAATAAAAAATTCTCAGTTAGTCCAGCTGTCGTGTTCTTTTTACTGTAAATACGAGTATTTAGTAGGGTTATTATTAGTAAATAATTAATAATGTATTAGTAAAAATAATTATTATATAATACAAATAATTATAGATTAAAATAATTAATTAGTTTAATTAAAATTAAAAAATACATATAAATTTAAAAAATTAAAATAAGATTAAAGTGTATAATTTTTTTTTTTTTAAAAAAAATAGCAAAATAATTAAGACATACAAAAATAGAAAGATAGACACGATAAATGAGATGATGGAATATAAATTAACATCACATGTCAAAATTTTAGGGGAAAGAATACAAACCATTATGAAAACTTGATTAAAAGATCTATGCAAAGAACTAAAAACTTAAATAAAAGGATTAACCAAGCAAACAATAGATCGAAGAAAATATTCAATGTAAACTCATTTGTATTTAATATATTAATATACTTATTAATAAAATAAAACACTGTAGTAGTAAAAGGAATAACTTGTTTTGTTGAGCTTAGTTTGCCGACTATTAGATTCGATCGAAAATTTATTTTCTCTATCTCAATTTAAAGTATTATTTTTACTTATTTTAATTTATTTCATTCAAAAGTATCAATTTCCTATTTTAGTAAAAGACTAATATCAAAATATCATTGACTTTTACTTAAATTTCAATATACCATTATTTATATAATTATTTTATATATAAAATAAATCGGCAAAAATGTCAAAATTTATTACACATTTTCACTAATTAATAAAATTTAATTATTTTTTAATCTATTAAATAATCTCAAATTGGTACTTTCATCCGGGACGGAAAGAGTATACTATAATTTGAAGTCTCGATTTATTCCGATTTTTAGTATACTGATTAGAATCAATTAAATTTTTTAAAAATATTTAATTTGAACCAATCCCAAAATAAAAACTAAATTTTAAATTTGGTTTTGATAAAATATTCGAATTTCCAATATTGTACTTGCTCCTATTTACTTATGATCGTTTAAAAATTAATTGGGCCTATGGTTTTAAAAAGCCCAATATTATGAGCCAAGGCCCAACAGTACATTGGACCTATTTATAAAGAAAACCCAAACATTATGACTAAGGCCCAATCAAAAGAACAAATTGGGCCTTAGGGTTTGAGCGGAACTTCTCTATAAAATCGACCTTCGCAGCCGTTTCAGAAGCCATAAGCAAAATGCCAAAAACCCTAGAGTTGTTCTCAGCCGCAGCGGCGGAGATCGGGCGGAGGTGAAGCGGGAGCGAATCGTCGGATGCGTTAGGTTGGGGGTGATGGGTAAGTAATCCTCCGGTGGCGGAAAGTTCCTTACCTATACCCCCCATGCCGAAGGCTTCCGATTTTCCTCCCCGTTCATTCTCCAGCTCTGTAGAGCTATGTGGTTTCTTCGTGATTTCGCTAGATCTACTCGGTTCTTTGGTCACAGGTGTAGTCGGATTTATTTATTCATTCTTCAACTTTTTTGGTCTAGATCTGCGTTTCCTGTTTCGATATATATATATTATTTCTCTCTCTTGATTACCTTCTTTTCTATGTTTTGGTTCATTTTCTACTGCTGGATCTGTTACATAAGCGAACAAGGAATTGTTCCATTCCAGTAAAAGTAATGTTCTTCAGGTTTGGACTTTGGATCTGTATTCTGTACTTTCAGAAAAACAAGTATGAATTAATTGTTAATGTTGCAAGTACAAATTTTACAGTCATAAAATTTTCAGCATTTGAGTATTCACAGTTCGCGTGATTCCTACGCAGGTTCATTATTAATTACTTTAATTTCATAGGTATATGTAGCGTAGATAAGAAACTGAGGAATTGCAAGAAGGATAAGAATCCAAGCTATTTAGCAACTGACATGAAGGCCAGGTTTGTTGTAGCCAGAGAAACTCCCAGATGAGCTGCTCCAGTTCCACTGTATATATTCCTTTCGTGTTATAAACTGTCAAGCTTTGTCTGTGAATTTTTATCAGAGGAGAGAAGTGACCTGGGCGTGTAAATTGGGGACTATTATTTGTGTGACCATATGATAACACGGGCGTGTTTCGATTTATCCGAACTGGCGAATTTCATACTTGTATTTTGTATATTTTTTTCCTTAAAACTTTTGAGACAAATTATAATGGTATGAAAATGGACATGAAAACAAGTGTATTATACCAATTATTGATATTCTGAAAAAAGTACAATAAATATATATTTAACATAATAAATTTTTATAGGAAAATGTTAAAAGAACCCATGCAGAAACTGATGATTGTGGAATATAATTCATTTATCCTACTTAAATGATATAAGATACTAGGAAGTGATTTTGATTACATCTATATGTGTATTTCTTGAATGAATTTGGAGTTTTAAAATATTTAATTAGATATTTTGTTAAAAAGAAAATACTACGAATTTCTAATAATAAAAAAATTAGTATATAAAATTCATAAGGAAGCACTTATATTTATTATATTCTAAATTTTATATTCCCCCCTTTCCTAAGGGAAGTATGTCATTTTTTTTTTTAATTTATATTTTAATATAATATTAATATTTTTAAAATTACGTGAAAAAAATTAAATAGATATTTAATTCCAGAAGTTTATTTTCAGAACGGGGAGTACTAATAATTATATTATATTTAATTTTGATTTAATTTAGTTTGATTTAAATAATTTACAAATATTTTTATTAAATACGATTGACAAGTTTGAATATTTGTTCCTAGAAACATCCAAACTATTCTACCCTAATTTCACCAGGTGGGGTCTTCAGATATTGTAGACGAGACAATAGATTGTAACCGTTATATTAATAACGTACAGAAGGTTAGCATCGATGTCGTTGTAGTATAGTGGTGAGTATTTCCGCCTGTCACGCGGACGACCCGGGTTCGATCCCCGGCAACGGCGTTGACTTTTTTACATTTTTTTTTTTTTTCCCAATTTTTGCTAAAATACAAAAACTGTACGTAACCACTGGTTGAACTACATAAATACCTTTATTTTGTCCAAGTGAGAAAGCTGGAAAGTGCACATTACAAAATCATACACTAGAATAAATATTCAACCTAATGATTAATAAAACAAACAGTAAGCAAGATCACAACTTGTAACCAAATAATTCCCTCCAACAAAAAAATATCAGAAAACTAAACCAAGAAGAAGTCATACCCAACTCTTCAAAACCTGTTATTCATCATTTCTTGGCATCACTTTTGGGGCTGTTGATCTGATCCCAAGCTTCAATCCATGTCACCATCGCATCCGCAAGCTTCACAAAGTAGGGATCCACCTTCCCAAGCTTCTCCTCCACCTGTTTCGCCAGCTCGACGTAGCATTTCTGCACGGTGGTCGACTCCTTGGAGAGCGTCGCATTCTGGAAAAATGGGATCGCCTCTTCTTGCCAGAAGATCCCTTTGTATTCCTTCTTCAGATTCACAAATGGATTGCTTGCCTTGCTGTGCCATATGTATGGCAGCCCTGTTTTCACTCCCAATCCCAAATGATCACAAATCACCTGATCAAACAATCCACAATATCGTATGAAATCGATCTTATCTATCTATGAAAGTTGATTCAGGCAAGAACAGCTTGTTCATAGCTTTAGGCAGCACCTTAACACACCATCCTGCCCACATGTCGTCGTACCGACCAATTGGCTGCCCGTCTCCCATCAGGCCGAAGTACATTGCCGGCCCGATGAGGTCTCTGTCGAATGCCAAATTCATTCCACACATGGGAAAGAGTGTTCCCTTTGGTATAGTCATAACTGCATCCACATACCTATTCACATATTCAAAAATTCAACGAATAAGCAACTGATCTTCACCATCATCATCATCAACAACAACAACAACTATAATATCAACAAATGGTTAGGTTTAGAGTGGAATTTGGTTGTGTTGAATTGCTACTTGGTGTTTCTTTCAACAGGCTTGACAAGCTGTGTTGGGGCATCGTAATCAGGAATGTTCAACCACAAGCCATGGGAGACTGCAGTCGGAACGCCTTCGCGGAGGCTGAATGGGTAACCGCGCACGAAATCGGTGCCCTCGCGGTACGGATCGTACAGCGTGTTGAAGAAATAAGGCGTCGATGGACAGAGGAGGTTCTTAATGTGCTGGTCTAGGGCATTGATTTTCCTCCCCGAAGGATCGTCTGCGACCTAATTTCACCACCGCAATTTCAACGATTGATCAAATCCGAGTGCAATTGCTATTGCGATTTTGAATTTGAAAATTAGGAAAACCTAAACCAGATCTTACGAAGCAATCATCGTCGATGGTGTAGATGTACTTCTTCTTCGAAACCATGTACCCGAAGCACCGGCACGCGGAGTCCTTGAAGGAGATGCAGGAAGATCTCGGACCGAGGATGCGATTAATGTCGTTCCGATTGTAGAGCTCGTAGTCGAAGCCGTCGGGAACCTTGATTGTCTTCGACGGATCGCCGTCCTGGACTATGATCAGGTGGTAGGGCTCGAAGAACGGTCTCCACATCTCCAGGAAATCGAGGTTTCGGATCGTCGGAATGACGATGTCCAGCTCATTTTTGAGAGGAGGCGGGGCGGTGGCCATGGCGGATAACGGCGGAGCAAAATTCAATTAGGCGGTGGAGGGAAGCGATGGAAAGGTTCTGCAGTTTGAAGCGGGAGGGAGACAGGTATTTAAACTGATTTTCTGGACACGTGGCGCGCACGTGCTCGCGCGGGCGGGTGGCTCGGCACGTGCGGCGGGCGTGTGTACGGACGGTAATGAGTAATTTGAAACCGGTGGCGAGCCATAGTATTTGGAGGTAAATTTCTCCTTAATTATTATCATTATCCTATTTTTGTTATCGTTGTTATAGTAATCAATTATTATTATTATTATTATTTAAATATATAGATAAATTATTATTATTATTATTAGATATTGAGTAAATGACGTAGTCAGTAAGTAAATAATTTTTCAACGTATTCCATGAAATCTATTATGGCATCATTATCGAAATATTATTAGTTAAAATAATATTAGTGGAATATTATTGAGGGAATTGTATTATTATCAAATGTAAGAAAAACCAATTAGATTATGTATTTATTTCAGAATAAATTTAAAAGGTTGAATAAAGAACCGAAAGCCCATTAGTTTATTGGGCCTAAATATAAAACTTATGGGCCTACGTTTTGGGCTTATATAGCCATGATTTGGGCCGAAAGCCAGTCTTCTTACAGTTGACGGGTCAACATCTTAATCCTCAGATTTATTTATTTATTACTCTCTCCGTCCTACGTATCGTGTCTGCTACACGGTATTTTAGAAGATATGTAATTAGTAGATAATTAAGAATGTATTAGTGAAAATAATTATCCGATAATATAAATAATTATAAATTAAGATTAAGATAACTAATTAGTTTAATTAAAATTAAAAAAAATAAAATTAAAAAGTTTAAAATGAGATTAAAGTGTGTAATCATTTTCCAAAAAATGAAAGTGACATGGTATGTGGTACGGACAGAAACAGCAACGTGGATATGGTATTTGGGTAGGAGAGAGTAGTATTATTGTGATATGTGTGTTAGAAGTATGGTTTTGGTTTTAAATAAAAATATTCCCTTTTACCCACCACAATGATACCATTTTTATTTATGTATGTTCCGTTGTCCCGTAACAATTGACATATTTCTATTTTTGGTAAAAATTATTAAATCCAAATATATTTAACAAATATAAATCAACTTAATTAACTACATAACATAAAACATCATAAATGACATGACATAGGACCAACTCAAAACTCTTTTTGTTTCTACTCTCTTCTCAAAAGAATAAATATTTTTATCTATATTTAAAACTACACTATCTTTTATAAAATTGATTTATGTTAATTATAAATGAACAAAAATATTTTTTTTATTTACTTGTATTATAGAAGATTTTATTCTCTACAAAACGATATTCATATTGCATATATTTTTTAATTGCTATATAATTTTTAAATATTTAAATATATAATTGAACTTTTTTAATCATATATACTAAATTTACTTTAAAACTATAAATATTATTAATTATATAAAAAATAATATAATAATATCATAACTAATTATTATTAACTAATCAAATATATTACCTTAAATACCGTATTTCTAATCAAATAGTTTAATTTTGATGGGACGGAGAGAGTATTTACTATTCAATTTATATAATTTTTATTATATAAATATGTATATATATATTTTTTAATAATGTTCGTTGAAAATTGTGTTAGGAAAAATTTGTTGGGTGAACACGCTAATTTAAATAAATAAATAACAAATCAAATAAAACTTTTAGAGTCATTATCTTATTATTATTATTATTATTATTATTATTGTATTTATTTATTTTTCTTGGTGGCAAGAAAATTCTTGAACATGAATTAGGAACATCAAGAAATTTCAAGAAACAAGCATCATTAAGTGTATGAGCCAAGTTCTTATAGATCATGCTGCAAAATATTTTATTTTAATCTGTCCCAATAGTAATTATATTTTCTATTAACATTAAAAATATTCTTATAATTTAGGTTACATTTATGTCACACTAGATTATTTGAGTATTTTCTACTTTATTTATACTATATCCAAATAAAATATTAATATTTTTAAAACTCTATACAAAAAAGTAACCAGATAAATAGATAATAGATGGAGGGAGTATGTAACAAGATGATTTGAAAAGTGGAGTTGTGAAACCTGAGTTTGAAGATGATAATGATCAACTTTCCTTTACAATCAAGACAGATCTATTACATCAGTTTGGTGTTGAAAAACCCTCTGCCACTCCTTGCTTCAAGATACAGAAAATTTTATTATACTTACCCATCAAATTATACATGCACACACATATATATATATATATATATAGAGAGAGAGAGAGAGAGAGAGAGAGAGAGAGGGAGAGAGAGAGAGAGAGAGAAGAAAGGGGACTGGGCAACAGATCATAACAAGAAGCCAACTTCCAGTGGGTGAGATACATCTGAACAGGACACACAAAATACTCCATAAGCCTTTCACTTTACACATTCTCCATTTTATTACATTATATATATATATATATATATATATATACATATATTTGGACAAGATCAAGAATGGTTATGATCTCAAAATTAAACATGGAATTTCTTCCTGCTGCTTTCTTCCTCTTTGTCTTCTTCTCTTTTGCAGGTAAAGGCTACTTTTAATTTTTATATATATATATATATATATATAATGTTTTTGAATTGTTCTTTTCCATTGCCATTTTAACAAAATCTCATAGCTGATGCAGTTTCTTGATTCTAATTAATGTCTATATATACATATATATATATATATTTGTGTGTGTAGATGCATACGATCCTCTCGATCCAAATGGGAATATTACAATCAAATGGGATGTCATGTCTTGGACACCCGATGGCTATGTGGTTAGTAGTTTTTTTAAAATATATTCAAAACAATATTACCGATCGAATAAAAATTTACTGAACTACAGTTTTGTTTAGACAAGTTTTTTAAGTTTTCGAAAATTTGAAAGTAAGTTTGAAAAAATAAAAATGAAAATTAGTATTTGGTTTCATATTCTATAAAAGAAAATATGTATTTGATGTGAAAGTTGATAAATTAAACAAAGCTATAATACTTGGTATTTTTTTTTGTAAAATTATACTAAAAAAATAGGCAAAATTCAGCGTAAATACTTTTTTACTTTAAAAATTGCATATTGCTCCTTTATACTTTAAAAAATATTGTATGAAATTCCTTGGTGATTCCGAAACTCAGCGTAAATTCTCATTATATTTAAATTGTATGACACCTTTTTATACTTTATTAAGTTAATCTAACTTAAATTTGAATTTAAATTCAATTTGACATCCCTAGGCTGCGGTGACGGTAAACAACTTCCAAATGTACCGGCATATCATGAGCCCCGGTTGGACGATCGGGTGGACATGGGCCAAGAAGGAAGTCATTTGGTCGATGGTCGGGGCCCAAGCCACCGAACAAGGCGATTGTTCAAAATTTAAGGCAACTATCCCTCATTGTTGTAAGAAAACGCCTTCAGTTGTGGACTTGCTCCCCGGAGTCCCTTACAACCAACAGTTCACTAACTGTTGTAAAGGCGGCGTCCTCGCCGCCTGGGGCCAGGACCCGCAGTCCGCAGTCTCCGCATTCCAGATCAGCGTGGGCCAGGCCGGTACCTCGAATAAAACCGTAAAGCTCCCAAAGAACTTCACCATCGGTCCCGGCCAGGGCTACACTTGTGGCCCGGCTAAGGTCGTGCCGTCGACGATCTTCCTCACGTCCGATCGACGTAGAAAAACGCAAGCCCTGAGTAAGTCTCGTTAAAAAATATCGATCGTAGTTTAACGATGTTTCGTAATATTTACGATTTTTTATGTTTATTTTTGAAACAGTGACTTGGAATGTTACGTGCACGTACTCGCAGTTCATGGCGCGGAAGCACCCGAGTTGTTGCGTGTCGTTGTCGTCGTTTTACAACGAGACGATCACACCTTGCCCGAATTGCGCTTGCGGGTGCGAGAACAAGAATAAATGCGTCAAGTGAGTCGCCCGTTTGCTCGATTTTAATTACGAATCGATCGACAACGCCCCGATTGACTGACGGTCGCTTTCTCTTGATATATACTTAGGCCCGACTCGAAACTCCTAAGCGTCGTCGGGATCAACACGCCGAGGAAAGACAACGCCCCGTTATTGCAATGTACGCACCACATGTGCCCGATCCGCGTTCATTGGCACGTCAAGGTTAACTATCGGGACTATTGGCGAGTCAAGATCGCCGTGACGAACTTCAACTATCGGTTGAATTACTCGCAATGGACGCTCGTCGTACAACACCCGAACCTCAACAACGTCACGCAAGTGTTTAGTTTCGACTACAAGCCCCTCGTTCCGTACGGAAACATCAGTAAGTTAATTCTTCGAATTACGACTCTCTTGTTATTACCCTTGAATCTGTTCGTCATTTGTATTCGATTTCTTGCGTAGACGACACCGGGATGTTCTACGGCATGAAATTCTACAACGACTTGCTAATGGAAGCCGGACCGGCGAATAACGTGCAATCGGAGGTTCTTCTCGAGAAAGATAAGGATACGTTTACGCTTAAACAAGGATGGGCTTTTCCTCGACGAGTTTACTTCAATGGCGACGAGTGTATGCTCCCGCCGCCGGATTCCTTCCCTTACCTCCCAAATTCTGCTCGTCCCGATCGATCATTCTTCGTCTCAATCGTCGTCATTATCGCTACTGCGATAACTTCTCTTCTCATAGTATAGTGAGGGATGTTCAAGTTTTGATCGCGTCGGAAGTCTCGAGGGTTAGTATCGACGGGAGACGAAGGATATGTAAGTGAAAATCATAGATACAAAGACAAACGAATCGATATGTATTGATGACATCGTATCGTATGTTACAAATCTATCGAATGCTAACTTATCACGACAACATTTCAATCGTATCATCGTATCGTAGACATCCAAGTTCTTTTGATTTCAATTTCAGTCACGGCTGATCTCAATCGGCGTCGAAAAACTTTCAAATTGACGCGAAATGGATCGTTGCGGTCGCCAAGATCGTGATCAATAACGAGATGGTTTTCCGAAACCCGGAGCTCGGTAGATACGGATACTCGTCGGGAGGGGGCATGACGCAATTGTCGCCATTAAAGTAAATTCTTCGCGGGAAGGCCCAACCTTTCTCGAACGTGAAAGTCGACTTATCCTTTCGAAACAAAAGCTCCGACTGTGCGTTTCCGAGTTCGCCGGCTTGCATTAGCAAGTCGTTGTAGTATTGTACTCCCCACAACATGGCCGTGTCGTCTGTTTCGAAAACGAGTAATCGTTAAAACAAAACCCTCGAGCAAACATTTTCCAATCGACGCGATAAAGGCGAGGAAGACTTACTTATGTCGCCGTACGGAGTTAACGGCTTATAATTGAAGCTGAAAATCTGCGTCAAATTGTCGAAATTCGGATGTTGAACGACTAAATTCCATTTGGTGTAGTTCATCCGGTAGTTGAAGTTCGTTATTGTAACCTTGACGCGCCAATACTCCTTGTAGTTAAGTTTCACGTGCCAATGGACGCGAATCGGGCACATATGGCTCGTGCATTGAACCAACGGCGCGAGGCTATGGCTCTTTGCTTGCTCCGAAACTACCGAGGCCAAATAAGGCGAATCGGGGCTGCAAGAAACATTACATCCGAAAACTCAAAATTACTACAAAGAAACAATACGTAAGATTCGATCATTATGATCAAATCAGGTGATTAGATTGGATAAAATAACTCACTCGACGCAACTTCCGGGATGAGTAAGGTTGTTTTGGCATCCACAAGTGCAAGTCGGGCACGGAACAATCGTATCGTTGTAGAATGACGAGAGCGAGACACAACAAGTCGGAGTTTTCTGCGCCAGAAACTGCGAATACGTGCACGTAACATTCCACGTCACTACAAAAAAGAAAAAAATCGAACAAAACTGTAAGCGCACGTTAATACGGCGGGGATCCTCGATCTCGTGAACCTAGTCCTGTATACATAGAGCACGAACGTATGCAGCGGCGGAACCATAATTCGAATTATACTAAAAATATCAAATTATATATTATTACCGTACTAAAAATATTAGATCGTACTGATGTATTAAATTTTTTAGTATAACAAAAAGATTTATATACCAAAATTTTTATTTTTACCATATATAATTTAAAATTTATATTTTGTATATATATATTTAGTTATGTATATAGCCCGCCCATAACCCCATGTGTATATATATATATACACGACCATGTATCCTAATTATTATTTTGAAAAATTCAGTTAATTCCGATTACTAACTTACTCATGGCTTGCGTCATTCTTCTTCCGTCGGGCGTAAGATATTTCGTTGGCTTCACAATTTTCGCGGGCCCGCAAGTGTATCCCGGGCCGGGGGCCTTCAACGTGAAGTTCCGAGGAAGCCTAACGGTCTTGTTGGTGGTCCCGGAGCCGCCGACGCTGACCTGGAAGGAGCTGGCGGCGTTCGACGGGTCCTGGACCCAGGAATTGATGACGCCGCCTTTGCAGCAGTTGGCGATCTGCTGATTGTACGGCGTCCCCGGGAGAAGGTCGACGATTGTGGGATCTCTCTTGCAGCAGTGCGGAATGCCGGCTTTGTACTTGGAGCAGTCGCCTTGCTCTGTCGCCTGCCCGCCCATCATGCTCCAGATCACTTCCTTTCTCGCCCACGTCCACGATAACGACCATCCCGGCGCTTGGATGTGCCGGTATTGTTGGAAGTTGAACATAGTTACGACCGCCTGTGTTTGTTAACCGTGGCCGATGAACTTCGGAAATTGATAGTAAAATTTTGAATTGAAATAATAATACTAATGTGATTTTGAAAAAAATTTGGGTGTGTTTTGTTTTGCAGAAAAATAATCAAACTCGTTTTTCCAAAAAAAATTAATATATCACAATTCACACGTAGTCGTTATTTTTGTACTCCCTCAGTCTGTCTCATTAAAAAATTGTCATTTTTTATTTTCGTCCGTGTCAGAACAAAGTTACTATTTTCTAATTTACTAATTGTACTACCTACTTAACAATAATTACCCTTTCAATTTATAATATATTACACATATGTCATTATTTTGATATTAGACAATACTAATATGGATATTTTTGTGTTTTTTTATTACAACTCAATATAATAATAATATTCAAAAATCTACTTGAAAAAAGCCAACGACAATCTTTCAATGGGACGGATGAAGTATTTCTTACACAATTCTCTAGACTTCACATAAAAAAAAAAAAAATATCCTTTCAATATATTTGATTTGATATTTTATTTAAAAAAATAATAATAATAATGTCAAATTTTTGAAGTGAATAAAATATATATGGAAGTTGTACTTTGATCAAGATTCTGTACACCAATTTTAGTAATAAGACTAATGAATTATTGCAATAAAATTTATAAGAGACTTGTGTGATAAAGTTGCCATTCTTTGGAAATCTTAAGAATACATTTACTTACCACATAGCCATCAGCTGTCCAGCTGATGACATCCCATTTTATAGTGATGTTTCCATTAGGATCAAGTGAGTCATATGCATCTGATCATCCAAAGATTTTCAAATAAATAAAAATGGAAATTCAAAAATAAAAATTCATTGTCCACAAACTGTCATCATCCTCTTACATTGATCTCCCATTTTTACTAATTTAAACAAATCAAACCAATTAAGTATCAAATCAAGAACCAATTAAAGACCAATTTTTTATGCAAATTTAATCAAGAACCAATCAAAGATTAAAAAAATTTATGCAAATTTAATCATTAACCTATCTCTGTTTTACATACATGGAAAGATTGGAATTATTCAACAATGATTTTTTTATTTTTTTTTTAAAAAAACACTAAATTAAATATCTATTTATTATGTCAAAATATATTGCATCTAATACTTTTCTTTTTTAAATTCCTTAACTCCAAAAACTTGTAAGGAGCCCAAAATTTATATGCAATTTTAATGAAGAACCAATCAAAGATTTTTTATTTTTTATTTTTTGCAAATTTAATCAAGAACCACTCAAAGATCAATTTTTTATGCAAATTTAATCAGACCCATTTTCATTTAGGCAATGCTAAGTCTCGAAACATTCAAATATGCAAAACCCACCATTGAATCTTGAAAAAAATTAAATCCCAGATAACAAGATTCATCAGAAAATGTCGAATCAAAATAAATATTACCTGTGGAGGTGAAGACAAAGCAGGACAAGAACAAAAAAAGCAAAATGAATCTTGATCGAGCTTCGAAGCAAAACTCCATTTTCCAGACAAGAAAATTTCGAAAAGATGGAAGTGTTAGAGTGAGAAAATGAAAGGGTAATAAAAGAAAAAATGATCAGTTGGCAAGGCTTGTTTAAGACGAGTTTAACAGGAGTTTTATTATTGAAGGGTTTGTCTGTTGTGGAGTCCCGGGACTTCTGGTCCATTACTTCTACACCGACGGTGCGGTTGGTCTGGAGCTGGACTCCAGGTGCTCCCAAGAACCTCTCAGAAATTGTTCTTGAATTCTTTAATCCTAGTTTATTTTATTTTATTATTAACATTTTTTTTTTTTTGAGAATTAAAAATGTTTAAATTTGGGAATGGAGTGTGGGTTATGTGTTGGAGTGTCGGTTTGTAAATTGTAAGAAGTAAAAAAATACTGAAAATAGTTAGACTGAATGAATGAGTGGTGGTTGTAATGAAAAGGACATTGACAAAAAACAACAAGAAATAAGGGTGTTCATTAGAAAACAAAATAATAATAATAATAATAATAATAAGGCAAAAATACACAAAAAAAAAAATAAAATAAATTATACTTCATTTGTGCTATGGAAAGATTGTCATTTTTCATTTTTGTTCGTTCCAAAATAAGACTATCATTTCCTAATTTAGTAATTGTATTGTCTACCTAACATAATAAATATTCTTACAACCTCAACTATATTACACAAATACCATTAATTTTATATTACACAATACTAATATTAACATTTTCATCTTTTTCACTATAACTCATTATAATACTAATATTAAAAAATTTACGTGCAAAAAATAAATAACAACCTTGCACCGGAACAGAGGAATTATGTTATTTCACGATTTTTTTATAATTTTAAAATTATGTAAAAATCTCTTATAGTTTCATAAATTCTACGTTTAATTTCATTAATAGTTATTCTTAACAATGTTTGATCTGCACATCCTCAAATGAATTTCAAAATTTTTATTTTTAAATCTTTGAAATTTAAATTTATTTATTCTTTGTATATATAAAGAACAATAAAAATACACTAGAAAATAGTTATTTTTCTTTGGTTCTAAGAAATATTAGTATTTTTAGGCCAAATATAAGATGAATATATTTATAATTTCTAAGAGATTAAAAATGAAAGTTTTTAAATTTATTCATAGTTTAAATACAGACGGATCAAACATCATTAAATAAGGACAATTGACGGAGTTCGATACAAAGTTTATAAAATTATGAGAAAATTTAACGTAATTTTGTAGTATAAGAGATTTGTTGTAATTTAATATAACCACAAAATAATTTGTGCAATTTTACTTATTTATAATAATAATAATAATAATAAAGGGAATTCAATAATGGGAGAGACAAGGGCAAGTTTCTATACTCAATTATGGCCTAGTTTTTTAGTTTCATTATTTTAAGTTAATTTTGTATGTTTGTTTTGGAGTGTGGTGCGGTTTTTAAATTATTTTTTTTTTATATTTGTCCATGAGTTGGTGTTTTTAGATAATTTTTTTTTTTTTCAATTTTTGTTTGAAGTTGATGTTTTGATAGAATTATAAATATATAAATAGGAACAAGACCCTAAACCAAACATTAATTAATTGTAAGAAGAGACTTACCATGAGCATATAACATGATCTTAGTAATTAATAATTATCTTTAAACTTAGTAAATAGATAATATAATTGTAAAATACTATATTACAATATATTGAAAATTAATTAATGTATTTATCCAACTAATTTTTTTACCAAATAATATATATATAATTTTTCACAAAAAAAATATATATTTAATACAAAATATTATATTTTATGTTAATGATATAATTTATTGTGCTTCGTATAAAAAATAATTCAAATTAAAACATTAAAAAAAACACTAAATATAAACAATTTTTTTTAAAAAAAAACTCAAATAAAAGAAGATGCTTGCCGACACAAAAAAAAGGATTAGAAACACCCGGGAGCTTAACTCCCAGACGAATCTATTCCAGTATACCATTTTATTGTGGGCCCTAGGGTGCATAATATGCACGTGGTTTTTTTAATCCAGGAATTGCCTAGCATTTCATGAACATAACATTGATTTAATTCCATTTTTACCCTATAACTATCAGTCCGGGTATATTCGGAACGATCCTTAATAAATATCAGCCGTTCGATCAAAATTTTAATCAATACGTATTAACAAATTTTTATTACATCATATACCTATTTTATAAATATTATATTCTAAATATATATGCATCGTAGACATATTAGTCAATCAAAGTATCAATAGTTGTACACAAGAATTATTTAATCAATAGCTTAAACAATAAAGACTTGCAGACTTCCATTAATTCAATTAGATACATTAACTTTATCCTAATGGTCAAATTCAATATTTGTACGAATGATATGTAGCCTGAAATTTAAAAAAAATGGTTTACATTATATTTTGAGACGGTTTTAAATTTTATTACACTTTTGTAGAATTTATGTAAGTATTCACTTAAAATTTTTAATTTTCTAATATAATTTAATCGATTGCTCTATGAAATTATATTTGAAACCAAAAACATAAAGTGTTGAAATAAAATAATTTGCCCTTAAATTTAGGATCAACCTCCTACAAATACGAAGAGTTGAAACAATCTTCAAATTAAATTATATCTATTATTTTTTCATTATTTAAATGCCTAAAAAAACATATAAAATATTTATCCAATCATATACTTCGTAAAAAAAAAAAGGGAAAGCAAGTAATTTAGTTACTCAATATTCGCGCAGAAGCGACATATCATTCGACTCTTCAGGTGACGACTATTGGACCAATGCATCTTTTTCAAGCTGTACAAGTCAATTGTAAATATACGCATACAAAGATTTGTCGTGCAATACAAAAAAGCAAAAAGTGATACATAAAAAATATACAATACATTCATTATTGTCGCACTTTATAAAAATAATAGTAAATTTTACTCCAATAATAATTGAACATGTTCAAGGATGTTGCAACTCAATTATATATATAAATATAATGGTGAAAAATATATATAACATAATTTATCATTTTAACCTGACTAATGCATCATAATTATGCAATATATAGATCATAAATAGAAATTATAAAATGAAATATATCATAACTATGCGTGCAACATCCTTATATGCAAATTACATCATTTATATTTGATATATAGTCTACTATATTTGTAAATATAATGGTGAAGTAAATCATAAATATTAACTATAACATGAAATAAAAGTATGAACAATAAAGTTTAGTATCATCAGTCTATCGTAAGTTAAACAACATATGTGTCATGAATATACATTGTATGTATTTGGAGGCCAATAAAAAGTTTTTTTGGAATAACTATGTTATATTTTTTTTTTCTAAAAGAGACTTATCAAGAATGCACATATACACATAATCACCATAAAAACATTACGCAATATTGAAAATACAACCACCAAATTTGTCCGTTTGACCGAAAAAACTTTTCATTGTTGAAATCTGTTATCTTTCTTAGAATATATGGTACTTGAATTTGTTTCGTTATCTTCGTTTTGGGTTTAATAGAAGCATTGGGATCTCACTTAGTTGAATCCGTCATTGAAAGATTCGTCAAATGTGAACTTCTAAATAAAAGAGGAATTGTGCGACTTTCGTCAACTGCGGATGTGCAGATAGAGAGGAATCGATGGCGATGACGGTTATTTGACGGCGGTGGGCATGGCTGGAGAGGTCGGCGGCGGCAACGGGCGTGGTTGAAGAGGTCAGCATCGGCGGCGGACTATGTTGTAGACGAAGGCAGCGTGACCGAAGAGGGATATCTGCGGCGGACTATGTTGTAGACAGAGGCAGCGCAACCAAAGAGGGATATCTGCATGGTGAATTTAGGGCTTGCTAAATAAGATAGATGGAAAGGGTTAAAGAGTTAATATATATATATATATATATTTGATTTTTAATTTATTTAAATAATTGTCATATCTTAATCGGCGAGCGAGTTGATAGAATGTATCATAATGCATTTACTTGGACATTGTTTAATTAAATTATATAAGAAAAGTATTTTATGGAAAACATCATAATAGTATTACATAGACATCATTTTGATATTATATACATCTTTAGAATTTGAATTTATACGATTTTAAAAGTAATTATTTGCAAAGGTTTTTGTTTTGTTTAAGAAAAACTTAATTCCGAAATTATCGGAGATAGTTACAATAAGTTTTTCTAATTAATTTTTTTTAATTAAATATCTTAATTAATTTTTTGAATTACCAAAATACCATCAATCAAACTTAATAATTGAATTGTCAGTATAATTGATCCAACAGATCAAAAATATTTAGGATCCTCTTGAATTTTAATAAACATCAAGCAGGACAATACCAAAATTCCTATAACTTTATATATATTAGTATTAAAAAGTGTCGGTGCATTCTCAATTTCCAATTTTATATTTATATTTCAATAACTGCAGTTTTTGGCAATTGGTGGGGTCTTAAGCACTTTTAATGACATTTCTATATTTAATTAAAATAATTAATTAATCCTTAGGGTGTGTTTGTTTGGGGATTTGGATTTTAAGTTGGGATTTGAATAGTAAAAATTTTGAATTTGAATAATTGTATGATGTGATATAAATAAGTATTGATGTGATGTTTTGAATGTAAAATTGATTTTTAGTATAATACAAAAAAATAAAAAATAGATGTTTGATTTGATATTTTTAGAGAAAAAAATTGGATAAATAATGTAAATCCAATCCAATCCTCCAAACAAACACACCCTAAATGCACCGATGAATATGAAGACAAAGCAAGACCTTTGGTGCAAATAAGTTTAAAATCCGAAGTATACAACAAAGTAAAGAACTAATAAATTATTAAAAACTCCCCAAGTTTTTTAAATATATACTCCTTTCGTCCCTTGACAATTTATTTATTTTTTTATTTTGGTTTGTTCCATAACAAAGTATTTATTTTATTTTTTTTTAGTAATTGTACTATCTACCTAACATTACAAATACCCTTTTAATTTACAATATATTACACAAATATCTTTACTTTTATATTATACAATACTAATATGTTTAAATTAGTCTTTTTACTTTTATTTCAACTTTATTTCAATATAATACTAATATTTCTAAAATTTCGTACAAAAAGCAAATAAATATATAGATATAGATCGGAAAGAGTATATATTTTCATTTTAATCATGTGTTTGGTATATATACCATACAATCTTATTGATTAGCATAATAAACCCAGATAGCTTATGATTGTATGTAACTTTTGAATTAGGATATCTACGAGGATTAAATAATATAGAACAGTTATTAAATATTGGGAGGTACAGGGACCCCGAGACCAGATGCATTAGTGTATGGGGTTGGAGAGTGATTTGTTTGGCCGGACTAGGGAGGACAGTTGGATTCCAGCTCTACAAGGGCTCCATGCAACTTTGATAAAGGATTATTATTATTATTATTATTATTATTATTTTAAATGTATATATTTAATAAATATTGATTAAATATATTTTTTATCTAAAAATATTATATATAATAAAATTAGCTGTTTTTTCTTTTTTTTTTTTCTTTTACAAAAGTTTATCAATTTGTACTATCAATTCTCAAAACAAAACAAATAATTTGTCTTATAGAATATTATATCAAATATATTTTATCCCTCTCACATATAGTAATATATTATATTTTTGGCAAAAAAATTAGATAGATAGTATTAATTAGAATAAACTATTTCCTTCGTCTCAATTAATGTTGTCCATGTTACTGTAAATACGAAAATTTAGGTAAAATATAATTAGTAAGTATACTAAACAAACTAAAATAAAATATATTGTAATATATGTGTGACGGAAATATATACTACTTCATCCGTCTCAATTAAAGTATGCACGTTACTGTAAATACAAAAATTTAAATAAAATATAATTAGTAAATAATTAAGAATTATATTAATAAAAATAATTATATATTAAGATAATTAAATAATTTAAATTAAAATTTAAAAAATTATAAATTATAAAATATGATTAAAGTGTATAATCATATAAAATATATCAAAATTAAATGAAGGTGGACAAATGGATCAAATGTAAAAAGTGAATTGATTGAAATAGACTGTTGGAAGATAATGAAATGAACAAAAATTAGAAACAAATAAAGCATAAAAAAATTAAAATTTAAAATCCAAAAATAACATGTGAAAGAAAACAAACACACAAAAAATAAAGGACTAAAAATTGTACTCTTTTTGTCCCATTATTATGTATCCTTTTGCAAATTGTACTCTTTTTGTCCCATAATTATGTATCCGTTTATTTTTTTTTTACGTAATATAAAAAATATTAGAATTATTTTGGAATGCAGTAGAAATAAAATAGAAATGACTAAAATAACCCTATTAGTATTGTGTGATATAAAAATAATGACATTTGTGTAATATATTATTCTCTCCGTCCCACATATCATGTCCACGTTATCGTTTCTGTCCGTCCCACATACTCTATCACTTTCTTTTTTTTGGAAAATGATTACACACTTTAATCTCGTTTTAAACTTTTTAATTTTTTTTTTAAAAAAAAATTAATTAAACTAATTAGTTATGTTAATATTAATTTATAATTATTTATATTATAGGATAATTATTTTCACTAATACATTCTTAATTATCTACTAATTACACTCCTCTTAAAATACCGTGTCTACAGTGTAGCAGACACGGTATGTGGGACGGAGGTAGTATAAGTTATACGGGTATTTGTAATGTTAGATAAATAGTACAATTACTAACAAAGAAAATAGATACTTTATTATGGGATAAACCAAAATGGAAAAATATATACTTTGTTATGGACGGAGAGAGTATAATACTATAGAGAAATTTAGGTGTTTAATTATGTCTTTGTACATGTAAAACATCTAACTAATTGTATCATCATAAAATTATTACTTATTCATGCATTAGTATTACATAAATACGATTATTATTACTTATTCATGCATTAGTATTACATAAATACGATTATTTTTTTACGCTTAAATTAAAATATATTTATACGGGCAAAAAAATATTTTACATTTATTTTTTTTACCTACTATTAATCTAATATTAATGGAAGAAGTATATTTTATTTATCCATTTATTGTTAAAAATTTGTATCTTGATCGATATAATTTATTGAATAATTATATCATAAATAAAAATACGAGGTTCATTACCGGAAATAAAAGATAAAATAAAGTTCAAATTATTAATGCCAAATCAATCACCGGTGGCATTCAATTTTAGAGACTAATAACGGCGGCGGCGGCGGCTCCCGAACAGCCAGAACCGTCTGTTCTGCATCTCCTCCAGTGACGGCGCGGCTGGACAGCGGCGGTTCTCGGAATTTCTTGCGGGGAGGAGAAGGGACATCAAGTTTATTCTCTGTCCAGGCAATTGTGTAAGATAGTTTTGATATTTTTATCTTACAAATATAGATAAAATAAATGTTATTAGAAAAAATAATTATATTTTAATATATATATATTGATTAAATAAATATAATAATTAAAAATATACATCGAATTGAATTGGAACAAAAAAATATATATATTTCCATTAATAGGCTTAGCACCAATATTTATGAAAATTCATTTAAATCAATAATAAAAAATACTTTGCTTTATTCTACAGTCATATTAATTATATGAAAACTCATAAAAATCAACAAATAATGTTATCAATTATACTCTCTTTGTCCCAATTAAAATAGTTATATTTATTTTTTTCATATTAATATTTAAATAGTATTAATTATTATATCAAAATATAATACAAATAAAAAAAATTAAACATACTTTTATTAATATCTTATAATATAAATATAATAATTACAAAATTATACAAATATAAAAATATTTTAATGCTAAGTGGACCATTAGATTGTCCCTTACTAACCATTAGACTGTCCCTTACCAATCACAATGACCATTCTCTCTCTCTTTCTTTTTTTTTTTTATTTTTCTTTATATATATATATATATATGAGTGGATTCATGTTCAACCTATAACTTTTTGTTATTATTATTATTATATACGCGATATTTTAATCCCTCCGTTCCATGTATTATGGGTCTATTACTATAGAAAATTTAGGTAAAGTATAATTAGTAAGTAATTAAGAAGTGTATTTAGTAAAAATCATTATCATATAATAAAAATAATTGTGGATTAAGATTAAGATAACTAAATAGTTTAATTAAAATTTAAAAAATTATAAAATTTAAAATTTAAAGTGAGATTAAAGTGTATAATTATATTTCCAATAAAAAAATGGATAAATTATATGGGACAAACGAAAATAAAAAATAGAGATAAATTATGTGGGAGGGAGTATTTAAATTCCAATTATCCTCTTAAACTTGTAAATTCTTATTGGGTATAAGGGTGTACTTACATCTGTTGGTTGACTCCGTCATAATTAAATAGATGAAGAACTAATGTATTAAATAATATATACTCCCTCATTCCCAAGAGTATAATCTTATTGTGTTGGACACGAGATTTAAAAAATATTAATATTATATTGGTAGTTGGTAAAAAATAAGTTTAAATGACTTTTTTGTCCTTGTGAGTATATTAGTGTAAAAAATAGTAGCAATTATGTAATAATAATAAAAAAATAAAAATAATTTTATGGTAACATAGTTATTTATGAAAATAACAAAAATGATAAATAAGACTATTATATTATGACGAATGGAGTATTAAAATTAGTATCATATATAATACATATTTTAATATCATATTATATAATAAAATATGAAAACAATATAGTCTAATTTTAGCAATAAATAAATTATACAACACAATCCAATATATAATATACATAACAAATATTCATACAATATATAATATAACATATTATATAATTTCATGTAACACAATATATGACTCAGACAACATATGTTTCTATACGACACATACTATGATATCTATTTTGCGATGAAATATTAATTGTTTCAAATTAGTGTACCAACTTAGTCATATTCTATCTGTTTTATAATGAAATATTAATTATAGAAGATAAAAATACTCTTATCAATAGTGTGTAATATAAAAATAATAATATTTATATAATATATTACAAATTATAAGATGTTTATTATGTTAGATAATTAATACAATTATTAAATTAAAAACAATATTTTTATTTTAGGACTAACATAAATAAATAAATAAATAAATAAGAAATAACACTTTTCTTATAAGACCGGAAAAAGCATTGTATCCGACCATACTAATCAGTATCCAAATAATTAGATTTTACCTTAATTAAATAAATCACATACGACCTAGCTGGCACTCACTACATACGTAGTAGGCATGGGATCCACAGCCCCAATTTTGCCCAGTCCCGCCAGCCCTGTTTAATACATATATATATATATATATTATAATTTTTTTCGGTCTATAATAATTGATATTTTTTTATTTGTCATATAAAAAGTGATATATTTTTATTTTTGATAAAATTTATTTAAAAAATAGAAATTAATTTAATTAATTATATAATATATAATAGAATTTAATCAAAAAAAATTTATTTTTATATATTCTTTAAAAAGATATTTTTATCTACGTTTAAAATTCATATTTTATATAAATTTAGTTTATGTTAATTATAAATAAATAAATATATATTTTTAATTTACTTTAATTATATAAAATTTTATTTTTTATGCAATGATATCTATATTGTATATATTTTTTTATTTTGATATAATTTTTAAAATATTTAATTATACATTCTAATTTTTTAAATTATAAATATTATTTAATTATATAATAATATTATTATTTTATTATTAATTAATTAATTATTACTCGAAAAAGATTAATTATTTTAAGGCATATATATATATATATATATTACCTTTGGACGACGGAGCTCCGCAAAATTGCGTGTACATACATGCATGTGCGAATGGACCACTGACAACTACCCACCGTTCAATATTTTTATTTATTTTTTATTTAATATTTTAAGATAAAATTAATTATTATATACTCATTCCGTCTTAACTATAGTGTCAGCTTTACTATTTAAAAATTTTAGAAAATATAATTAATAAATAATTAAAAATATATTAATAAAATTAATTAAAATATTATACAAATAAATATAAATTAAAATTAAAATAAATAATTAATTTAATAAAAAAAATTATAAATTATTAAATTTAAAATATGATTAAAAAAAGTACTATGAAATAATTAAAACATATTTTTTAAAAAATCTACAACTTTTTATTTTTTTAGACGATCTAACACACTCTAATATTATGGATTTAATATTTAAAAAAGTTAAAATAAAGATAAATTCAAAAGAGATACAAGAAAATTAAAAGCTGACAGTGATGCTCACATGCCTTCAGAAAAAGTTAAATAAATAATGAAAAGTTAAACCACCAACAACCAAAACGAAATAGTTATTACTATTATTATTATTATTATTTAAGAGAGAAAAAAAGTAATATCTCCGTCCGCTTTTGGGCGATATTATTTATTTTTTATGTGTTGATATTATTTATTATATTAAAATATAATATAAATTAAAAAAATTACAAAAATATTTTTATTAATGCTTTATAATAGTGATAAAAAATATTTGTATAAAAATTTATACAAATATAATTATATTTTTATGTCAAATATAATAATGCAAAAGGTAAATGTGACCGATAGAGTATTATTTTTCTTAAATTTTATTTTCTAATTTAAGGAAAGTTTTTAGCGTAAAATTTAAAAAATAATTACCCTCTTTCGTCCATTTTTAAGAGTCTCATTTACCTTTTGCATTATTTTACTTAATATTAAAAATATTCTTATATTTGTATAATTTTTTATACAAATATTCTTTTATTGGTATTATAAAACACTGATTGAAATATTTTTCTCAATTTATATTATATTTTGATATAATAATTACTCCCTCCGTCCCACATAATTTGTTTATATTTTCTATTTTCGTCCATTTTACATAATTTGTCATTTTCTTTTATGGAAAATTAATTATACACTTTAATCGTACTTTAAATTTTAAAATTTAAATTTTTTTAAATCTTAATTAAACTATTTAGTTATCTTACTCTTAATCTATAATTATTTTTATTAAATAATAATTATTTTCACTAATATATTTCTTAATTACTTAATAAGTATAGTTTACCTAAATTCCCGTGTCTATACACCCATATTACATGGGACAAATGAAATAATATTTAAAAATCAACACGTTAAAAAAAAAAAAAAAAAAAAAAAAAAAAAAAAGAAAGAAAGAGTAGATGAGTCCTTAAGCCATAGTAATATTTATTAGATACATTTACTAGATGAAATTAACTAATGAATTAAAGCCAAACACAAATCAATAATAATAGTACAGTAATACAATTCATATTTACCAGTTGATAATGAAGCTAATCACTCGCCATCATTCTCATACACAACACAAGCACAAATAAATATATATATATAATATATATATAGCGGATGCGATTCCCATATCATAAAACTATATATATTTTTAAAATTCGATATAAAAATCCGATGGTGGTACTTACTAATGGCGGCCGCGGTCGCCGCAGCTGTTGGCGTAGTCACACTTGCGTTTTTTGGAATCGACGTTCGGAGCGCTGATGCAACTGCCGTAAATGTTTCTACTGCAAAATTCTTTGGTAGGATTGAGGGAAACGACTGATTTTCGCTGCACTTGCTGGAGGAACCTTCTCGAAACTTCGGATTCCATCAGGAACTCGACCTCCGGTACCGATATTCGCGACCTAAAATAACCGCCGCCGCCGCCGCCGCCGAGAAATCCAGTGGCGTCGGAACCGGCGGCGCCGATCAGTAGTAGAAGGATTAAAAGGAGCGGCGCCGGAGAAATGTTGTGGTTATGTTTTGCCGACATAATTTTGGGGATGAGACGTGCAAATAAGAGAGGTTGATTTTTGGCTACTTAGAAATTTATAGGGGTGTATTTTTTATTTTTTTTTATTTTTATTTTTTTAATGTTATTGTAGCCACACTCTTTGTCCTAATATAATATTTTTATTTATTATTTTTGTCCGTTCCAAAGTAATAGTCTTATTTTTATAAATATTCATATCACCATAAACTACTACTACTTTTTCATTTTTATTACACAATTGCTACTACTTTTTACACTAATACACTCACAAGGACAAAAAAGTCTTTTATTTGTACTTTTTATCAACTATCAATACAATATCAATATTCCTTAAATATTGTGCCAAACACAACCCAAACTATAGTTTTGGGACGGAGGGAGTACTATATATTATCTCCGTCCCATAAGAAGGGCACAATTTGTTTTTTGTGTCATTTTAGTTAACATTCAAAATGTTATTATATTTGTATAATTTACTCTACAAATGTTATTGTATATGTATTATAAAATATCAATAGAGGTATTTCTATTTTTTATTTTTATTTGCATTACATATTGATATAATAATTAATGTTAAAGATAAATGCGCATAAAACTCATGATACTTTTTTTATGTGACATAGATAGTACTAAAATTAAAATACGTAAATAGTTTAATTAAAATTAAGAAAATTATGAACGATGAAATTTAATAGATGAGTAAAGTTAAGAAAAAAAAAAGTGAAAAATTATATAAGACATACCGAAATAAAAAATAGAGACAAACTATGTGTGACGAATGAATATTATAATTATTACTTCCACCATCTCAACTAAAATGTTCATATTACTGTAAATACATAAAGTTAAGAGATATAGTAAAATAAAAATATTTGTAAAAAATAAAATATTTTTAAAATAATTACTTTATAATTGAAAATTCCAAAATAGAAATACATACTCCCTCCGTCCCTTAACAATCTATCTATTTTTTATTTTGGTCCGTCCTATAACAAAGTATTCATTTCCTTTTCTAGTAATTGTACAACCTACCTAACATTACAAATATCATTCAAATTTACAATATATTACATAAATATCATTACATTTATATCATACAATACTAATAGGATTAATCTAGTCTTTTTACCTTTATTTATACTTTATCCAAATATAACACTAATATTTTTAAAATTTCGTACAACAAACAAATGAATATATTGATATTGGGAGGGAGGGAGTATATATTGAGTTATGAATGTAGTCTATTAAAATTAGGGTAAATCTGATAAATTTATTAGTGAGAAGGAAAATTAAAAGCGGACAGTGATGCTCACGTGCATTTATAAAAAGTACCCCTCGTCCCATGTGTCATATTCACGTTGTCGTCTTTGTCTATCTTATATTTCATGTCTTTTTTATTTTTTGGAAAATAATTACATACTTTAATTTTATTTTAAAATTTTTAATTTATTTTTTTAATTTTAATTAAATTAATTAATTATCTTAATCTTAATTTATAATTATTTATATTATAGAATAATTATATTTACTAATAAATTCTAAATTATCTACTAATTACACCTCTAGTAAAATATCATGTCTACAGGTATATAGGATAGAGGGAGTAATAAAGATATGAACAAACAAAATCAAATTATTATTATTATTACTTAAAAAAAAATGAAAAAAGTGATAATAGAATTGGACGAGAGAGGAAGTATTTAACATAACAAACAAACACGGTCTTACAAGTAGCAGCAGAAACTGAAGAGAGTAGAAATTAATCAGGTGTTAGAATGAGTTGAAGAGAGAGAAATTTATTGAACTTTTACAATTGCAAATCAAACACCAAACACTCGAGCAATATTTATAAGATGAAATTAATTAATTAATTAATATATATATATATATATTCATTAATTCGAGATATAATCCGATGGTACTTACTAATGGCCGCAGCCATTGATAATATTGCCGCCGTAGCTGCTGCCGAAAATGATTTGTTTTTAAAATAAAAAATAAAAAGAGTTCGGATACTAGTAAAAGGTAAATTTAATATTGAATAAAAAATTGAAGAAGTTGATTATTTAAAAACAGCCCCGGCATTTGCAGGTATTATCGTAGCCGCACTTACGTTTGTAAAATTTGCTCTTAGGTCCAATGCAACTACCGTATACAACGTCCTTACAAAATGGAATGTTGGCTATGGGTGGCTTGAGACCGATGCTTACTTTTCCGTCTAGGAAACTTCTAGAAGTTTCGGATTCCATTAGAAACTCCTCGTAGGAATTATCTCCGGCGGCGGTGGCGTTCGCTGGATTCCTTAAGCTTAAGCATTCTCCGGCGGTATTAATTAAGAGGAAAAGAATCAGGATGATCATTGCCATTGCCGCCGAATTATTATTATTTTTATTATTATTATTATTATTATTGTTGTTGTTGTTGTAAAAGAGATAGAGAGGATGTAATAGATGGGAGGAGATTGTGGTTTATTTATAAGTGAGAGCGGGTTCATGTTCGACCGATCTTATAAAAAATTTGTGGAGGAGTGTGAATTTAGAAAATTCGATATAAAATTTGATTGATTTTATTTATTAATTTATATAAATTTTTAGAGACTTGACGACTTATTTATTGATTTACATTCATTTCATAATAAATGATAGGATTGTGAAATATATATATATATATTATTGATTTATTTCTGATTTTCTGTAAACTCATGTGAAAATATGTATGAAATAAACTTGTATATAAATAAATAAATAAATAAAATATTCAAATTATTTAATAAAAATATCAAAAATATAGTACTCCTAGTTTTTTTTAAAAAAAAATATATATATACTACCTTTGTCTTATAAAAATTTTGTTATTTGTTCTTTGCGTATTAAAATATTTTTATATTTTATTATATTTATAATATACAACACTAATAAAATGTTTTAGTCTTTTTTTCTTGATTTATACAACATTTAATATATTAATTAATATTCAAAAACCTACCCATAAAAAACTAAATGACAATCTTTTTAAGAGACAAAAAAAGGGAGGGAGTATTATTATTTATATATTTTTCTTATAAAAAAGAAAAAGAAAAGCAAATGTTTAAATAAAATCAAAATCACAATTCATGATTTGAAAAAAAAATAAAAATAAAAGAATATTTTTTTAAAATAATACTTCATCCGTTCATTTTCTATTGTCCTAAAGTATATTTACACGATTTTTTTAGGTGATTGTCTTTTTGTTATGAATGGACAAATTTGCCCTTAAGTGTATGGTAGAGATTAAAAGTAATAAATGAATGAAGGGTAAAAATGTAAAATTTGTGTTTAAAAAAGGAAATAGGACAATAGTTGTTGGACGTCCCAAATAGAAAAATAGGACATTAGTTTGTGGACGGAGGGAATAATAAATATAAACAGCAGTTCAAACATAAACCATCGAAATTGAAATCAATAAATACAAGTCCAAATCGTGACTAATTAGATAATTCAGTTTCAATTTGATATTTTGACAAACAAAAACGGCCGTTCGAACAGTTTCGATAAATATAATTGTGAATCATCGATTTTAGATTCGAACCGGAAGTTTATTGCTTTTTTTTATGACATATAATATATAGATATATAATTCACTTTTACCGTAATGACAATGTGGTGTATCCTAGAGCGGATTTATTATGATAAAATGTATCTCATTTGTCAACCAGATTGATTTTTGTTTTTCTACAAAAATTATGCACTTTTTATTAATAGCAAATAAGTTTTACATACTTTTTAATTTATACCATTCAATATTTTATTTATTTACATATATACCAGAAATATCTACCTACTTAATTTATCTCCTTTTTTTTTTTATATTTCATTAATTTATTCATATATTTTTTTAAAATATTGTTACTTTATATTACAATCAATCAATATAATATTATATTTATTAAATTTCATATATAGCTCATATGAGTATATTTTTTATGAACGGTGGAATTAATATATTTTAAATATTATATATACAATTAAAATTAATATTTTTATATAAAAATAATGTATTTAAGTTATGAGGATTTAACAATGCCTATTGGCCGAAAATTCCTTCTATATAGTTTCTTTATACTCCTTTCGTCCCATATATTTTAGGTGTGTTACGGTAGATACGAGAATTTAAGTAAAATATAATTAGTAAATAATTAAGAAATGTATCAGTAAAAACAATTATATATTAAGATTAAGATAAACAAATAGTTTAATTAAGATTAAAAAAATTATAAAATTTAAAACTTAAAATGTGATTCAAGTGGATAATTATATTTTCAAAAAAAAAATAACAAGTTATGTGAGACGGAAGAAAATATAAAATAGAGACAAATTATGTGGAACGGAGAGAGTATGTGTGGTTGAGATTCAATAAAATTTATGAATCTTTAAAGTTTATAATACTTAAATATTTTTAAAAAAAAAAATTTAAGGATTTTTTAATTTTTTTTTATGTACAACATACATCAAAATTTTAACACTTTTAAAAATCAATATAGAATACTTCTAGATTTATATGTTTTTTTTTTTTTTTTTTATATTCCTTTAAAAGTTTTCATGTTTTCGAATCAAAATTATACTCTTATGTCCCATATATTTTGGGATTATTATTGTAGATACGAGAATTTAAGTAAAGTATAATTAGTAAGTAATCAAAAAATATATTAGTTAATATAGTTATTATTTAGTAAAAATAATTATATATTAAAATTATGATAACTAAATAGTTTAATTAAGATTCAAAAAATTCTAAAATATAAAATTCTAAATGCGATTAAAATATATAATCATATTTATAAAAAATAAAATGACAAATTATATAAGACGGACAACAATTAAAAAAAAAAATACAATTTATGTTGGGACGGAGGGAATATCTAATAGTTGAGAATGATTTGCATTGTACTAAGTTACAGATTGAATTGAATTTTGAACATCATTTTAATGGTTAATTAATTTTAAATTTTTAACTAAATTCAATAATATAATTTTAAAAAATATAATGCCTTAAATCATAAGGTCGAGTATTGAATAATATCATCTACCTAAGGGTCCCAAAATGCTACAATTAATAAGGACAATTTAAAGTTAGGTGAAATTTCTCTTTTATTGTAATAAAGCATGCTTGGCCATGAGATGTCACTTGCAAATTTGTTAACTATATTTTAGAAATATTTTTAATATAAAATATATAGATATTTGATACTCTACTATTTAAATAGAAAATAAATTTTTTATTTAATATTATAAATAAATATATATTGAATATAATACTTTTAGTAGATAAGTTCTAATATAAAATATGCAAAATTAAATTAAAAAATAAAAAATAATAATAATAACCAAAAAATGCATGAGTGTGTTTTGATTCTATTTTTGCATCATGTTTTATCATAAAGAAAAACACACACACATATATATATATATATATTTTCAAAAGAAAATATTAATATATTATATATATATATTTATTATTTTTATATTATCTATAATTTTCTATACTTCACACAAAAAGTTATTTCTTCAAATAATT